AGGGAGGGGGAGGAGGGAGGGGGAGGGACGTCTGTTGGCACAACTCAGGGCGGCGAGGACACCAACAGCCAATAAAAACATCACAACAGACGCTCCTCTGACTCACTACAGAGGAGGAGAGCGAGCTCCATACTCCGTATTTAAGAATTGTACTTACTGCTGGCTAGATTAAACATCATGATTTAAAAATATATACTATAGTATTTTTCACATAACGCAGCAAATGTATGTAAGCAGCAGCACATTTTCACATTTAACGAGGGTAATAAGCTACAACGATTACTCATCATCATCAAATATGAAGATCTCCTGCCGTTTTTCAGTTTTATTTTCAAATTAAAGTTCATATATTTTGGTTTTAGAGTGGCAAAGACAGTAAAGGGCTCTGCGGATCAATCCATGATGATACAAATGGTCACATGCAGCCCTGATGAATAGAAAAACCCAAAGTTTCAGGGCTAAATTTGCTTCCTGTGAAAGAAAATGTGTCTGAAAAAAGAGAGAAATATCCAGAACCAAGCTTTAATTATTAGACGAATAATGTTAATATTTGTCCTCGTTTTCACTCAGTTTCAGTTCCTTAACGACAGAAAGACGTCATGTAACTATAGACTAAGACTGTTCCAACTGTGTGTCCAAAAGGTGAACCACAAGCAGCTCGTGTCTTGGCTCCGTCAGTCTGCAGGACGATGACACCCGCCATGACCCGTCTAATCCTGCTGCTCATCGCCGCCACCAAAATAAATATTTCAAAGGTTCAACCGAGTGCAAAGCATGGCCCTGGATGACAACATCAACAGCAGAAACTACAATTTGTCTGTTGAAATATTCAGGAGGCTTTATGAACGCTTTATTCTGCTGTTTTAATCATACTCTATCCCTCTGGGTTCTCTCCAATACAGCTTGAATAACTGTGACATATAAGATGCAAATGTAAACAGAGAGGAAGCAGCATGGAACAGAGGTAGGGAATAATATAATAGAAAACACAATTTACTACATAAATCACCACTAATCTGCTCTGATGGGCAGATGACTCCACAGGGACAGATGTGAACACACGCACACACACACACACACACACACACACACACACACACACACACACACACACACACACACACACACACACACACACACACACACACACACACGAGACATTACTTAACATTTGTGCGAGTTAATTAGGATCTTTTAGGCATAACGAGTGCACAGAAATGCACCATTCCCACTACATGAAATGGTTTCCTGTTGTGTCACCTCACTTAAACCCAGCCTACTTCTTCCCTATGCTAACAGAAAGTGACACCGCCATGGGGGCTGACTAGAGTTAGCTCTAACTCGGCTCTGTGAAGAAAAGATCCAAATAAATACACCATGGACGCTTGAATTTGAATTTTTCTGAGGTTTCAGGAGTCAAAAGTTGAAAAGTGGGCGCCTGTGTCCCTCCCCTCCCCTTTCGCCCTGTAAAGCGGCTGTGAGTGGATAATCCTGCTGTGTTTTTATTCTCCGAGGCTTTCATCTCCTCAGACCTCCATTACCCAGAGACTCTGGGACAGGGGTCGACTAGTGGCCACGGGCGAGAGGAGCTGACCTACTATGCTGTGAGGGTGTATAGAAACGTTACCATGAGGGAGGGGTCAGCAAGGGGTCACACCTTCTGTACAGAGCAGTGTCTGCAGGTCTGTTTACAAGCAGACACTCAGGTTAAAGCCTGATTAACTCACTGATTTAGCTGCTAAAAGGATGATTATTGTGGGAAGCCTGTTCAATTATTAACAACTTACTAAACATAGGTCTTGGGAATTATTATGCAAAGATATTACTTTATAAAATCACTGAAGAAATACACACTTTGACACCTCTGACAGTTTGAACTGGCATTTGAGAGATGTATTTAAGTCCAGATTTGTGCATACTGTCACATTTAAGTATTGCTAAATATTACAATACAACATTTTATGACTCCCAGTTGTTAATATTGAAAGACGGTTTTAAAAAAGGCATCTCAAACATATGAAATGTGTCCTGGAAGTATAAGCAATTCTTCAAAAAGCTGTTTTGATAATCGTGTAGTAAATTAAACTCCTCTCTTGGGAGATTTGGGGATTTCTGAAGGCTGTTTGTGTTGTTTGGACAGATTTAAAATCTGCCTTTCACAGCAAATCTGTGAACACACACACACACACACACACACACACACACACACACACACACACACACACACACACACACACACACACACACACACACACACACACACACACACACACACACACACACACACACACACAAACAATCCTAAAATCCATCTGTTATGCCTGTAAGCCTGCTTACTCCTCGACAAAGCCACTTTACTTCTTCTTAAACAGACAGACACAAAGGTCACGGCCTCTCATGATCGTTAAGATATTCAATTTTTTTTGGGGGGGGTTGTATGAATTCTCCAGGCCCAGTTTGACTGAATTATTAAAGCAAGCAGCTGCTGAGAGGCTGTGTGGATATCAGAGCACATCAGCGTTTGGCCAAACAAACGCCACAAATACGAAGAAAACCAGAGGGACATGATTAATGACTTCCAAGTTTCCGATGTCTTTATAGATCTGAATGATCAAATTCATTTTCACAGTCTTTCCCTGACCTTCTTTCTTTGACTTCTACATCTGCTTCTGCCTGAGTGTCCGCAGGTTGTGTGTGAGGTGTGAAAAGCTATTTCAGTGTTTCAGTAGGCAGCCGGTTTTTAAAGACACTGACATACACCAGCTTCATTTTCTTTCTCAAGTTCAAGATTCATCATCGTCACTATTTCTAAACCACTACTGATAGCGCCAGAGTATTTTAGCGCCTCCCGTTTTGTTATTTACTAATGCAACATCCTCTGATGCATTAGCTGAAGTGTGACCTGCCACCTGCGCTGTAGAAAGACTTTCCAATAGACAACTTTATAGGGAAGATAATCAAAAAGAACATAATACTTAATGTATACAGTAAGCTGAATCTGGAAACACACATGCAACCACTTTTTAAACATCCTATTAGACCGTTCATCAAAAACACACCCCCATAATCATAAGCCTGGTGTTTATCCACATTTTACTCTGCGGAGTACCTGCATCCAAGTACTCTCAAGACAGGGTCCTCCTGCAGTAAGGGGATCCCTCTTGTCTTTGATATTTCACTGTAATCTTGTGTTTCCTACCAGAGAAGAAGTTCTTGGTGCGCAGGAAGCTGACGCTGAGCCTGAGGATGGACAGTTTGTCCAGGCTGGAGACGACGTCCTGGGGGAAGGGCAGCAGGCTGGCCAGGCGGTCCAACTCCGAGTTCAGGCGGTCCCGGTGCCGTTTGGATGGGTTGGACTTGGCACTTTCAGCTGGGGCCGGTTTGGTTCTGGACAGAATAAGCAGTGTTATTTAACACTTTTTTCATATATCAAAAATAATGATATTCCCATCAGGAGGGTCACAAATAGGGTGTACTAGTCTAAATCCTAATGTTTCCTTAGAAATCTCAATTATGAGGCAGAATAATGAGGACATGTCATTAAAAGAATGCCCAAGAGACATCCAGAATATTTCCATTTGATGACAATATAAAAATATAGCAGTGTTGGGTTTGAGATTCAGTCTAAAACAGGGGTGTCAAACTCAAGGCCCGGGGCAAAATTCGGCCCGCAACTTCATTTTATGTGGCCCGCAAGAGCTTGCAAAGATTATTATACGGTTACATGCCACTTTACAAAAGCACATTGCCTATACATGTCCCGCAAAGCATCTCATTTTGTGACATGCGCACTGAAGAGACTTGGAATTATTTGCCCTGGACTTCTGCTTTCAGACGTAGTTAATTACGAAGTTATTACCCTATCCGATAATAATCCAATTCAGAGGCAATAATGTAATATAATACATTATTTAATATATATTATATATTTATGTATATTATTTATATAGTTACAACCGGCCCTTTGAGTGCAACCATAATGCTAATGAGGCCCGCGATGAAATTGAGTTTGACACCCCTGGTCTAAAACATATATTATATTCACCAATTATGATCTGGCATTGGGAGTTTTGTGTGCCATATAGCCAATAGGCAATGGGTATCCAAGCGGATTAAAATGACAATCTTAACTTTTAATATTCTCAAGAATCCATATTGGCATATTAGTCATAGAAAAACAGGTATCAGTCAAGCTACTGTATAGTGCTAAAATATAGCTTTTTAACATATTTAGACCTGATATATTTATGTTATTAACTGTAATAATATATTAAACGAAATAATACATGTCTTTAAAGACAAAAATAACAGCTTTTTATGAAATAACGTCAAAAAAAGACACAAACTCACCCCTTCTGGGCCGGTTTTCTTCTTTTCCGTACAGAATACATGTTGTTGACGTCGATTTATTCACAGTGAAGCTGGAGAATATCCATAAACTCTTAATTTATAAGTAAATATAAAAAGCTCCACAGAGTAAAATCCAGTAGCAGTGGTAGGAACCAGAACCGTGAATAATTCACTGTATGAAAGATGATCAAACGGACCCAGTAAAGCTCCCTGTCGAAGTGTTATTACCGGACCATCACAGGGGCACTGTCACTCCGGTTATCCCGTCCATGGCGCTCCTCCGCTGCGTCAAATTCCCCAAGGGTTCCGCTAAAAAATAACCTCAGTTTAACTCCCACATCCTGCGCACGGAGTTCAGTCCCAACAAATGTTCAAATTAAAACGTTATGAAGTTAAATGTCGTTCGCCTTTCTCCGTCCTCTTCTCTCTCCTCTCTCTACTGCTCTCACTCAACCAGAGCGCGCTCCCCGGGAACTGATTTGAAGACGGGAGCGCGCATCGGGTCAAAGGTTACGTCACGTCAAAAAATAACGGTTGACTTTTTTTTTTGTACATTTAATCTTTAACAAAAATTTAAAAATACTACAGAAAAAGTAGTATAAAGCACTTATTATATAAAAAAATATTGCTTTAAAAAAATATTTTAACAGACATATGTTTGTGTCATTTTATGAAATTGTTTGAAAAACTAAAACATAACAATTAGGATTGTTTTCTTTAGTAATAACATTCCTATGTATTATGAATATTGTAATATAGGTAAAGGCGGTGAATATGTCATATTATAGGATATATAATTAGTGTTTTTGTATACATCTTAAATGGTGAAAGGTCCCTGTTTTTCAACAGTTTTGTCCACTTTACGGTAAAATGTTTGTCTTTAATTAAGGAGATAAATATTTTAATTAAAAACAGTAATGGGGACATTTCAGTGAACTTACTTTGTAATGCAGCATGTCAGAGTAAGACAATATAAGACAGTTTTTTTTTATCCCTGGCCACCAGGCGGTGGCGGGGAGCAGATTGACAAACATGAAAGATATATTAAATTGCCAGAATGTAGAGATACAGTGCCATCTTGTGGACACTTCAGACTATTGCATTGGACAAAAAGTACAATATTAATGTAGGATAAATAAAATAATATGCATCAAAAATATAATTCCATCTAAATGGCATAAAAATAAGGCTTTATGTTCATTTTCCAAATATTTAAATGACAAAATTGTCATTTATCATTAAAGAAAAGGGCCGTGGAAGTAAAGTTATTTTCGTCTCTATCTTTTCATTGACCATCAACTTTTCTCTTCCCAGCAAATAATAATCTGTATTTTTACACATTTCCTCATATTATAATATTCCTCATATTGTTAAAATATTCAAAAAATAAAGCTGTTTATTCAGAGCCCGGAGGACAAGGACACTTCTGTGTGTGATCAGATCACCTTTAATATGGTGAGCAGGAAAAGATTGACTCAATACACTGTCAGAGGCACAATGATGAAAGCAAATCCACGAGATATAATATGCTTAAAAGTTACAAAAAAACAGAAAACATCATAACAAGAGGTTAACATTTGTATATGCTGTGCAGAAAATGTACAAAAAATGATGAAGGCGTGAGTCAGGTTAACGCAACAATAAAATACACAATATAGGACATTACGTATTTTGAAAAAAAGACAAATATATATATTTATATACAGGTACACAAAGATACTGCAATGTGGAGCCTTTGCCTCCACGGTTTAAAAGTATAATAAGTACATAAGGCTTTTTTTCCCAACTAGAGGCAAGCAACAATATATATTTTGATATGAATACTTTGTGATTGAATTGAAAGCACACTTTGAGTCTTTTAAATGTGTACTTTTTAACATCCATCTGTGATGATTTTTGGTTTTTATTTTTGGTGAATCTGCTGTCGAAATGATCATAATAGGGAGAAAGGCTGGGATTTCACTGTAATACTTACAGTAATTAAGTCGATTTAAGAGTAAAATACATGTTTTTCACTGCTTTTTTAAATACTATTTGAGCAAAATCAGAATGAGAGTTATCTTTATGATCGCATTTCATACAAATAGGGCATTTTCGAAATGAAATCGAGCCAAATCAATCAAAAAAACGACTACATTATCCATAATGCCTTTCTACAACTCACTTGTTCCTATGATGCCACAAATCAACACTACTACTAGGCACTTAAATGTGACATGAATGCAGCATATTTGTAATTTTGTGAATATTCATATCATTTTCACACACAACTACAATCACTCGGGTCTATTTCCTGCTGTTCATGTGCAGAAATGATCCACAGAAAGTAGAATTCTTTAACAAAATATTAGTTTTCTGTCTTTTCCCTTTGGTATCCTGCAGAATAAAGAATCACAGATGGCTTTATTTACTACTCTTTTTGGTATTTAAGGCAACATTCAAGTCAGCTGTCACTACTTTTGTCTATTACAGCTTCTAAAATCAAAACCTTCTTTTAGGAGTTTTAAAAAAAGTACATACAGTAAGTGCTGATAGTGAAACTTAGACATAAATCAGATTTCATGGCTCAGTACTGATGATGCGACACAGATTTCTTGCAATTCAAAGGCTTTCCCGTGATGTTTTATTTCCAATCTAAGTGCTGAATCGGGTTGTTTTGAAGAAAATAAAAAGACAATCAAAAAGAGGTCAATTAAAAGGCACTTGTTAAGCATTTTTTCCATTTTTTTCCTTATTTAAAATATACAATAGCTGCCTTTAACTGTTCTTACTTCTGTGTTTTTTTCGCTGCCGGACGATCGTCGATATTCCCCGGTCGTCCGAACCATAAATTAACCACAAGGAAATAAACAGGAAAGAGGAAGAGGACGGAAATATGAATAAAAAGTCTGCTCTCATATTTAGTTTCATAGCGAGAGACTGACTATTCGATTAAAAAAAAGAAAAACGAATTTAAGAGACAGTTTTAAAGGGGCCCTGTTATGCTCATCTTCAGGTTCTTATTTACATCGTGTGCCTCTGCTGTGACATGTTTCCATGCTTTCATGTTCAAAAGGTTGTGTATTAAAGGCAGTAAGTGCTTAGCTTTTACTCTCAGTCTGGGGCAATTCTAAAAAAGGACAATTCTTTTTTATTTAAATAAGACATAATAATGATTTCATGATCCAATATCTATCTAATCTAGAGGGTCCAGTTCATTTTGCGTAAGGAAGCTCTCTTTTAGTTACAATTTCTATGCTTTGGGAAACACATTTAAAGGAATAGTGCAAACATATGTCACAAGTTGGCTTTGTGAAGTTAAGGCGAGGGCAGTTTAAACGATTTCTTTTGCAAATATTCCCAGTGGAAATGTGACTTTTTTCTCTCTCCCTAAAACAGGAAAACAACAACACAGAAATATAAAAAAAAAAAGAAGAAAAAGGAAGAACTGGCTCAGTGATGAAAGCTCTGATTGAATGCTTTAACAATATATAAAAGAGGCACTAACAAGCAGCTGCTTTCACTGAATCATCTTTAAGTCGTGATTTTCTTTCTTAGCAGGATGATTATGTTGTGCGTTTTCTTTTTGAATACCCTGTCTGCGCAGTGAAGAGTTGAAATGAACGAAATCCAGACGCCTTTTCAAAAGGACAAAACAACGACGACAACAAAATTAGATATATTTTATCCTTCTGAGCGCTCAAAATAAGTGAGTATGGTATTTGACGGGAGAGGATTAACAGGAAGTAGATTCAGGCCCACCTCTTCCTCATCCTTCAAGTCTCTTTTTTGTAATGTAAGTGAAATATCTCTCTTTTTTAAGTGCTAATAGCTCCAGGGGATCAAGCAGATTAAATGATGCATTTCTTCTGATAACAATGCAACAATAAGCTATCATTGTTTTTGCACGGCTCAGCCAGCGTAAAAAAGCAAGCATGCACTGTCTTACACTCGTAAATCCAACATGTTCATCATGTTTTGAGACAGAATAACTTCCATATTTAACAGACTAGCTCTATCTGTGGAAGAGGGTCAATTGCAATAAAGAAAAAAATCTGCAAATGTACACTTTTGCAGGTAGACTTGTCGGTCATCATTGATTCGTAGTGGAAGAACACAGGTATTTACTGTTTTCCACAGTAAAAGTGGGTTTTTAAAAAGAGACATTGAGGATGAGGATAAAGGAGTTCATTTGGTGGATTTTCCCTCCTCCTCCATCCTGGCAGAAAATCAAGAGTCTCCAATTGATTAGAATAAGGTAATCGGTAATCTTTTTTTCGTGGTCCAAAGAGGGAAATGTCTCCCGTCCTGAAACAAAGCTTTCCTCCGTGTTTCCTAACAAGAGGTAAAAAGAGGAAGGATTCGCGTCCTGTTTTGTCCCCTCTTCCTCCTCCTCTGGCACATTTCAGTTTTTCAGTCCGATCCTCTTTCAGGTTTAGAGACAGGAGTCTTTTTGATTCCTTTAATCCGTGTTTCAGTCCGGGTCGGGATCCTCTGCCGCCCTGGAGTCACAGCGGCAGTTTTCCTATTTGTTCTCTGAGTAGTATGCGTTCCCATTGGGCAGCGAAGAGTAGGGGAACCCTCCGTTACCCACCACTGGACGGCTGTTGATCTGCGAAAACAGAAATACAATTATACATTTTTATTAGTTCAGTTTGAGATACAGTTTCTGATTGCTTTGATATTATATCTACCTGTGTCTGTTCGTTGTAGTTCAGGTACGGCTGCAGGAGTCCGTTGGGGTCGAGCGCCATTGCCGTCTCGCAGGACAGCGCCGCCTCGTCGGGGTTGGGGATGGCCGTCCTCCCCGGCATGACCCCCGCCTGGTAGAAGCGCGGCGGCTGGGAGGGAATGGGGTTGCTGACGGGATTCAGTCTCTGGGTCAGGTGTACTCCGTTCACAGGCACAGACGTTCCGGGGGCGTTCCTGAACATGCAGCTGATGGAGGGGGGCGGCTTCATGACCTGCTGAACAGGAAACGGCCCGCTCGGAGTCTCTGGGGTCATGAAGATCGGCCTGCCGTTGACTGCGTCCTGCATCACCACCACTCCGGGGTGAGGAGTCCTCTGGAAGCCCGACATTTGGTTGAGGCAGGCGTCCATCTGTTGGT